TGTGATCATACAATTCTCTTCTTCATGCACTTTCACAACTACTTTATCGCAGGAGACTTTTCGAAATCCACATTTACTTTGTAGATCTAACCTTAGTTTGCCCACTTGCTTTGGTTTTCTATGGCCAAGGGGCTGCGGTTTTGCTTCTCAACCCAAACGCTTCGGAGTCAAATCCAACTGTGCGTTGGGACATGTATTTGCAATCATACTACTTATATTCGATATGAGTAGTCTGGGAAGGGATCAGTAATTATTGGGCACACGAGTCTCCCACGCAGCATGGGCAGCCAAAGCGATGAAGTAGCGCGGATTTGGATGCTATTTTTAAGGAAGTCTCCTGCACTCCCTGTCCGGCCTCAGCCTCGTGGGCACGAAGATGATCTGTCCCGGCCACGGACAGACTCGCCGCTGGTACAGACGAGACCGGCCTACCTGTCTGTCCCGGTGCCTCTCTGTCCGTTGTCCGGTATCCGTCCGTATGTGCATGCTTGGGGCCTCAGCCTGTGTGCATGCATGTATGTGCGTGTTTGTGTGTTTGTCCTTGCGACCTGGCACTCATCCACATATGCGTCGCTCTGTCCTGCTGCAGATGAATTAGTTGCCCAGTCTTATGGCAATTCGTCCGTACGTCCGTCAATGTTTCTGTCTGTCTGTCTGTCTGTTCGTCCGTGTGTCTGTATCTATGTGACTGTTTGTATGCCATAAAGTAGTCTAGTCCGCCCGACTTTTGCTAATATGTAAGTGCCATTTGCTTTTATATTTGTCATTTCGAGCCTAGCGCTAAGAACCCTAGCCACCCCAAAAAAGGGTTTGATGTCTTGGCACGGAAACAGCCGCTTGCATAGTCTGTCAGAACAACTTGTCAAGGTGACTCGGCACTAGTACTTCCAGGACGTTTTTCCTAGGATTAGGCAAGTTTGTCCGCTCGAGTGATGTGACCAATGGTCTGCGACCATTGCGACTGGGGTGCAGGAACCTCCAAGACAAGAGGTATGCAAAGAATAGCGTGCATCGATTATCTTTTAGCATGAAGTTGGTTACTAGGTTGAAGGTATTTAAATATCTAAGATGTAAATACATGAAGATTAATGATATGGCCATGTAAATGTCAGTATATTCAGTGCATTTTTCGGTGAGTTGGTAGAAGGATAGTTTGAATGAGTGGTTGGGTGTTTAGTTTATTATTTAATTGTATATGCGGAAAGAAGTGAATAACTGACTGTTTGGTTGGTTGATGGGTTGAGTTTATATTTGGTAGGTTGTACGACAGATTGGCTGAAGATTTGGATGGCTGCTGTGTTGTTTGTTTGTTTAGTTAAATTTAGACTTCATTAAATGACTGATTGTTTAATTGATTTATCGGTTTGTTGGTTGTTTAGTTGGTTGAATGGTTGGTGAGTTGGTTGGTAGAAAGGAAGAATGTTTTAGGTGTGGTTGGGTGTTTGGTGAGTTAAATAACTGGTATCAAGGCTGAGTGAATACTTGACTGTTTGGAAGATGGGATGGTAGATTATATGTTTGGTTGACTATATGACAAATTGACTGAATATTTCATTGGTCGTGTAATGGTTGGTACGTTATTTATTTGATTGCAGAGTTTGTCAACTGGCTGATTGGGTAATTGTATTATTGGTTG